GGAGGCTGAGGCAAGAGAATTGCTTAAACCCAAGAGTTTGAGGTTGCTGTGAGCTGTGACTGCATGGCACTCTACCAAGGGCGACAAAATGAGACTCTGTCTCAACAAAAAACAAAAAAGCTAGTAAGACAAAGCAGCCTTGATTAAGATTCTTCTAATCTTAAGAAACCAATATTTGCAAAGAATTCAGGAGCTATTAAGACGGACAAGCACTGATTCCTGATGATAATGTTTTATCTCTCACATACCAATTCTACTTGCCTTTTATGAGAAAATGTGACAGCGGCATTGTGTATAAGTGAAGGCAAGCTACTTTTAAATGGAACTGTGATTGAATTGGATTGCCTTAGAGTCGTTGGTGTGAAGAACTAACTTTGTTTTCTGATTGACCAGGTCCTGAATTCAGTAGTGATTTGATCCAGCCAAGTCAGTCTGTAATTACTCTTTCCCCTATAGGGAGAAACAGTTCTCAGGTCCATCACTCTGAGTTTCCTTTCTGCTTTATCTTTCACCACTTACTACTGGGTTTTATTTTATTTTACTATTTTTTTTTTTTGAGACAGAGCCTCAAGCTGTCCCCTGGGTAGAGTGCTGTGGCATCATAGCTCACAGCAACCTTCAACTCCTGGGCTCAAGCTAGTCTCCTGCCTGTGCCTCCCAAGTAACTGGGACCACAGGTGCCCACCACAACGCCCAGCTATTTTTTGGTTGCAGCCGTCGTCGTTTGGCAGGCCCAGGCTGGATTCGAACCTGCCACCTTAGGTGTATGTGCCTGGCGCCTTAGCCACTTGAGCCATAGGCACCAAGCCTCTACTGGGTTTTATTGCCATTATTATTCACTTTTTTGGGCTTACGCAATCCTTTTGCCTCATTCTCTCAAGTAGCTGGGACCATAGGCGCCGGCCTGGCCATGCTATTTTTAGAGATGGGGGTCCTCTCGCTCTAGCTCAGACAAGCCACTCACCTGGGCCTCCCAGAGTGCTAGAACTACAGGCATGAGCCACCATACCTGGCCTCACTTCTGCTTTTCTGCTCTCAAATGCTAAATACTTCGGGGAAAAATGTAAATGCACCACTGTAGAATCTGAGCCCTTCAGTGCTATTTGGTCATTTTTTTTACTATTAACAGCAGTTTTTGCTGTTCTCCCTCAGTGCTATGGTGGGTATTGAAAAGTTATTTAGTAAATGACCAAAAGTCCTCTGATTTTCGTCTTCACCTAGCAGATATCTCCCAAGTTTAACAAAAGTTTAGCAGAAGTTATTCAGCACATTGTCTCCAGTTCTAACCCTCAAGGTAATGGCAATGTCCATCTTAAACTCTGTTTTCTGTAAGTTAAGGTAGATAGATCTCCATGTATCCTATCCAGAGGTCTCCCTTACCCCCACTGGCTCTATTTTCTAACAACATTCTATGGTTTGTTGACCCTTGCTCAGATAGTGCCATTACCTTCTTTCTAGCCTCATTCTGGAACACGTTTTGAAGAACAGCACAAAAGGGTGCACACAGTGACTTGTGTCTGTAATCCTAGCAGTCTAGGAGGCTGAGAGAGGAGATTACCTTGAGCTCAGGAGTTCGAGACCAGCCTCAGCAAGAACAACTCTGACTGTACTAAAAACAGGAAAAAATTAGGCACAGTGGCACGTGCCTATAGTCTCAGATCCTTGGGAGGCTGAGGTAAGAGGAGGCATGAGCCCAAGAGTTTGAGGTTGCTGTGAGCTATGATACCACAGCAATCTACCCAGGGTGACAGAGTGAGATTGTCTATAAAAAAGAAAAGAACACAAAAATCTTAGGATGCTATCTCCTTTCCATTAACCTACCAAAATTCCAGGAAGAGTATGTCATAGTGTATGTGCCTCTTACATTTCTCAAGTCTTAACCTATTCTAGGTTGTACCTCACCATTCCACTGTCACCATCCACTGGCAACAACCTCAACAGGCCTTGTAAGAGTAAGAGGGTACACTGTTTATCTTTTAGTGCTGTGGAGATTTGCTATCTACTTGGGACTTTTTTCCCA